TTAGAACACTGGCTGGGAAACGCTCTACGATTTTCGCAACAGACGGACGCACAGACACACACACAAAAACACGTAAACAACCCTTAGCCCGTTATTATAAAGTCTTGATTCTGTACCGAAAGGTCTTTCCAAAGCTTTAAGTGTAATTGAAAACTCAAAAAATCTAATTGGGCTCTTAATTCTTATCATTGTCTCGAAAAGAGGAAATGTGAATCTATTGATAATATGCTTGCTTAAATCTTCCCCATAGTGTGTATTCAATATTCGCGCTTGGTCAAAAAATTAAATAAACGTTCTCTTAACTTTTGAGTATACTTCGTTAGCAAAACGCCATCCTGAGTGAGATGGAAAGTCTCAAGCATGCTTTTTTCAGCAAACGATGTTGCTTTGATGCTCTTTAAAAACGCAGTCAGGGATTGAGAAAAAGAAGCAACTGACATTTCTTTTCTAAACCAAATTTGCACCATTTATTATAGGTGTTTTGTATTGCCGTTAGCCTTGACTCTCAGTCTCAGTCTCGGGTGAAGGGGTTCACCCGAATACTCGCCCAAAAGTGAAGGAAGGGGGCAGAGCTGTTGCTCCACCTGTCGCAAGTATGGCCGCAAGGCATATTAAGTTCAAATAAATGCGTTGCGAAAGAGGGTGGGGCCTACAGTGTTCACGGATCAGTCTGCGTACAAAGGTGATCAAGTGCTAACTGGTGGCTGACGATGCATGAGCTGTATACTACACTATCTTGCTTACCCGGCTCCACTCGGCCCTGTTAAAACACTGTAATAAACACTTACCCCCCTGTGCCAACTCCCACCCCCGTAGGTGAATTCTGCAAAAAATCGAAAAAAATCGATAAAATCGTTATCGATCGATAACGAAAAGTAGCCTATGACACGCTCCCTGTTTCGAAGTGTATGTGTGCCAAGTTTGGTCCAAATCGGTTCAGAAATAAAAATCTCTATTCCGCACATACGTACACACATACAGACAGATAGACATTCAGCTTTATATATAAGTTGAGTAGTAAGTTCCCACATCGATGTGACATGGGATCTCCATAAATTTTCTAAATCGAGGTTCAGTAGCGACAAAGTTCCCATTAATATCAAATTCTGATTTGGTGTTTCAGATCGTTTTTTTCGGCGGTGGTAATTTTTTAGTGCAGAGTCGAGATGCGTGATTAGCGATAGTGACCAAATCAGAACCAAACTATTCAGAAATTTTGCGAAAGTGTTTTACACTTCCCAGCTTCTTCTTAAAAACCTCATAGAATTGATTGTATGTCCATACTCATGATTTCTGAATTGGTTGCATCTAAAGTTAGCTGCTTTTATGGTAACGACGGTGTTCTGTTCGTTTTCTGAGCTTTTAAGGCCTGATATAAAACCTCTGGCTATCAAACAACAGCCTTAAAGGCAGTGTCTCACCAAAACTTAGTTGCCGAGTTTTTTTGCATTTTGCAAGCCTGTCGGACCCTGTCTAGCACTGTATGGGCCTAAAATCGCACGAAGTTCTCAAAATACCCCGTTTTCTGGAGGCCCCGCGGAAGCAACGTGGACGAGTTGTACCTTCCAACTCCAGCCTCAGCCACAGTGGCAGTAACAAAGGGGAGGTGGATGCCAAGTGGAGGGACATGTTTGAACGAGTAAGGGGGGAGACCGAAGGAGTCGTCCGCGCGTACCAACTCGCTCTCCGCGCACCACTTTGAGCGAATTTTTCTCAGCGTGGAGGGGGTCAAATTGAGTGGGACTTGTTGCAGTGGCTTATTTAGAGGTCCCTATAATGGAATATGTGAAAATCAGCGCGACCTCAACTTTGTTGAGACACTGCCTTTGTTGACCTTATCGAAATTCATTATACCATGATCACTCCTTGGCTTCTTGGCCATGATTGCTCTAGTGGGCGGAACTACTCTTGTTATGGTATCCTAAGGAGCTAGCAATCAGTTTCAAGCAAGAGGTGTGGCACACAGTCGCAGGTAACGACCCTCCCCCCTCTTATTGCTGTCTCCATAAAACCCCCTAAACTATATACCTAAAATAGCATTACTTGAAAGCCCTGTCAAACATAACGGGCAACACATCCATAATTAGCATGTCAATCAATTCCTGTAGACAATGTTTGACCGAATTCTGAAGTTTTAAGATACTGGGTCACCTAAGTGAAATCGCCATTTTCTAGCATGATTGACTTTGTTTCAAAGGTGAAGTAGCTAGCTGTTTTTGCACTAAAGACAAAGCACGCTACTTCTCTGGCCACTTCAGAAATCTCGCTTCGAGGACCTCCTAACTTGGAATTTGAAATCAACCAAAATCTTGTTTTCCTTTTTTTAACTTCTAATGGCTGTGATTTCACTAAATGTTACTCAGAGCTAAAAAGACGAATCCGGCTCAAATCACTCCTATGGAATCTACAAGGTTTAGGCTATCGATTCATTTAAACAATGTTTGCTAAAAATGTTTTTTTGATATAGTTAATGGGGTGTGGCACCACCCCTAAAAAGTTTGGCTGCCACAGCTTTTTATGGTTGGTGCCACACCCCATTAGCTTACCTTCAAACATATCAAATAGCTGCTTTTTATATCGTTGCTATTGCTTAATCTTCTTCTTTAGGGTTGTTTCAGACTGCCGCACTGACTGCAGCTGACCGCACTGACCGCAGCTGACTGCAGCCGACTGCAGCAGACTGCACGACCGCACTGACCGCAAGGGCCGCACGAATCGCTGTATCCTTTCGTGAAGATGGAGAGCATAAATAGTTGTAGCCCAAACAATCAACAACTATATATGCCTAGATCCAAAAGACAAGACGAACGAGAGTAAAACAAGTATATGCAATAAGGGGAGAATCAGAACAAATATAAGCATACCAATAACAACAATCGCCAAAATTTGATTGAAAAGAATAATTTAGAACCTATCAACTTCCTAGCCCTAAATCACGGTGTTTTGACGTAATCGCAATTGTTTTCTCTTTTACGAAAGCATGCAGCGTCTGTGCGGCCGTTGCGGTCAGTGCGGTCAGCTGCAATCTGCTGCAGAGTCAGCTGCAGTCTGCTGCAGTCAGTGCGGCAGTATGAAACAACCCTTACGTAGCAGAAATTTCATATGAAAACGTTTATTCAAGAGCAAGATATAATCGTTTTTCCTTACCTATGCAAATGTGAGATACTAGTACAATGCTGCGAAAATACTGGGATGCGGTAACATGCTAAGTCTGCACTACTACGTGAATCGCAAGGGAAGAATGAAAATGTATATATACGATAGCTTAAGCCTCGTAATCTATATTTAGAGTGACTTGAGAATGTTTGGACTTCCCTAGCCTGAGATAATGAAAAAGGAAAATGGAACAAATGAGATTTTGGCTGCTCGTAATTCCATAATTTGGATGCTATTTGACGTGGAATTCCTATTGTGAGCAAAGAAATAGTAGTTCTTTGTATTAAGTGCAGAAAAAAGTAGTCAACTTAAACAAAGTAACATGTTTGAAAACGACCATTCCACTTAGGCGGTCCTGTATTTGGAAACCTCAGAATTCGCTAAAACTTGGACCACAGGAGTTATTTTATTTGCTAATTACAAAACGGTGCTCTTATGCTTTAGAAGTTTTTGGTTATGCTGACTGTACGTATACGATAATGGATCAAACATCAATGTGCTAGTATTTTGCATGACGGGCCTTTTGGCATTGTTATAACGCATATCATGTCATGCGAACAGCGGACGCCTTGATAACGACCCCCTTCCCTGATTACTCAATATGACCCCCCAGGTGTGCCATGCCCCACCCCACGCTTGACCCTGCTAGTAATTCATACAAGGCATCCCATCGTGAGTTTCAAAGCAGGTTCGATCAAAGCGCCCTCGGTGGTCGCCATCTCCTCATCCTTTCTCTTCAATTTTGTCCATTTTCTCAAATTTTTTGACGACCTGCTTCTTATCCCATGGGTAAGCTCATTTGAGATTGGTTACAATTCCATTCTGCTTGGATCTGCTGATTTTTATGGAATGAAGTGATGGACGGAATGAAGTGGCTGAGCTGTTTTTCCAGCATAATAAGAGGCACCATTGATAACAAGAACCCTTTTGCAGACAAGAATTATGACTTAAGCAATGGCTGTAAGCTGCAGAATTCGGATGTCCAAAAACAGAGCCGATTTTGAGTAAACAATCTTGGGAACATAGGAAGAGACAGAGAGAAAACGGCAAAAGGAATAAATTCACAAGTACTTAGCAGCAAACAAAATTAAACAAGCAACTATAGAATAATAATAAAGGGTAAAGGTTCGGTGTCTTTAATACCCTCTGCGTGCATGCGCCGAACGCACACCTACTTCATAGTCGAAGAGGCAGGTGGATGCGTGCAGGCCTTTTACGATCGCTGCAAAATACAGAAGAACACCAATACAGCCAAAAATATGGCAAGGAGGAGGACAAAGTAGGACAAAATGTTGAAAGGATGGAAGTCCAGATAACGGATCAAGTAAAAGTGGGGACACGGCGCTACACGATCGAAGCCTGGCAAAATGCGTAGACGATACGCCCGCGAACGCGGTGCAAGACTTGTGCGAGGGAGCCACGATGAATTGAGGCAGGGTGGCTTTGAAACTCACTTTGTCCCCGTACGAATATGCCTCGCAAACGCATCACTCAAGTGCTATAAGATAGTTCAAGTAAATTACTTCCATTTTCTGCAAATATCTATAATTATTTGCAGTGAGATAAAGTGTGAAATCTTTGATTTAACTGTAAAATTTTTGGTTCTTGAGTGATGTTTGTTAAAACGCTAAAGCTCATTTCTTTCAAGCATAGTTATCAATAAAATAAACATATGACTCAAGCCATATTTCCAGTTTGTTTTGAGGGGGCAGACTTTATCTGCACTCTGTAATTGTATTATTCAATACTTCACCGAGCATCCACGTATTTTGACATGTGGTTCGTATACGCAGCACTTGTACATTGTAATATATTTGTTCTGCGCCTATGTGCCCTTTTTACAGATAATTCGAGCTAACAGCTCTCGCCTTGGCTGCTCCGTACAAAGATGTGGAATGTCGGCTGCCGTGGCCTGCTTCTACGACTCTCCGTGAGTTCTCGAAGTTTGTGCCCGCAATCACACAAAATGCTATAAAAAAATTTTTGGTATGGGGCACTAATACGTCGGGTGGATTTTTTGGTTCATTCTAGAATGTACACTAAAATCTCAAATGATTTTTTCACATGCAGTCTCATGCAGGCTGGTGAAGCTCATTGGTTTTACCCCTGCTTGGAGATTTGAACCTGATTTATCCCCATACTTTGAAATCGCTTTTAAGTCTTTCAGAGTATCATTCCCACTACGTTCCTATAAAAAGACTTCTTTCAATTGCGTCTATGTCAACAACGTATAAGGGTGTATATTTAGTGCTTTTATTCGGAAGCTTGCAAAGTCTTTACAGAGATCAACAAGTCAACAAGCCAATGTAACATCGAATGACACCTAGAACGGTGAATTAATGGTTGTGGATATAAAACAGTCAGACAACTACACAATCATAAATACATTACAATCATTTAGTCTAATTGTCAAATCGCTTATCATTTTGTTTATGTGAGTACTATCAGTATGGGAAACGACAAACGGTCCGAGTTCATCAAGATATGGGCACTGTACTGAGCCCATTACATTAGGTTCAACCAAACTTCCCCCGCACCATTTTCAAAAAGTCATAGTTTCCTTCTGGCGTAATAGTCTTGCATGTGAAAATTACCACTATAAAGGTTAGCTCATGCACTTTCTAATGACACGTTACCTGCTCTCTTCCACGCTCTGGTCGCCGATTTAAAATTGAGAAAAAGAAATCACTGCAGGTTCGTTATTTTAAAGTGCACCCGTTGAAAATTTCAAAACCATCCAAAACAGCCAGTATCCTTAGTTATCTGACTTCTTCTTTCTAGCTGAGCAAAATCCGCGCTGATCTAACTGTCTTTAGAAAAGTTATGATTTTTGAGAAAAAAAAATGTCAGAAAATCAACTTCCTTACGAAATTGATTGTTTGGCATTTTTTCTCGAAAACCATTACTTCTTTGACAAGCTCGATCAGCGCAAATTTTGCTCAGCTTACTTAGATACTTAGATACTTAGATGGCCCGTCCCCACGTGATGTGCGGGCCCCAGTACAGAAGTTGCCGTTGGTCCCTGTCCCTCGCTTTGGACATCTATGATCTTCTTGGTCGTCGTCGGTGGCTGCGTCCAAGAGTTCCAGGGGCGAAAATCGTATCCAGCCGATTTCTCAGCTGGTCCATCCGTTCCACGAACATGTCTGCCCATCTCGTCGGTGGTCTTCCTCGAGGACATTTGGCTTCGCGAGGAATCCACTCAGATGTTCTTAGCGTCCATCTATCGTCTGTTCTTCTCATTATGTGATCGGCCCATCGGTGTTTCGCTTTAGCAACGTATTCCGCTGGGTCACGAAGACGGGACATTCTTCTCATATCCGTGCTGCGAAGTCCGACTAGATGTTGCTTGTGTTGGGTCATCTTCAAGAGACTAAGCTCGAGCGCTCTGTGGATGGTCCCTAAAGCTTTCGACGTGGCTACGGTGTCGGCCCAAGTCTCAGCTGCGTAGCAGAGCGCTGGGAGAACGGTTGAGTCAAACAGGTGGGCACGAAGCTCCGGGTTCGTCAGTTGGCCGGTGGCTTCCTTCAGAGGCCCGATGGGGTCTAGGCTGCTCTTCTTTCCTGTTAAGTTCTTCGCTCAAGTCTCTCCATGTTCATCGAACGTCCGAGATACACGCAAGAAGACGTCTCCATAATAGGGGTGCCTTCCAGTTCTATTTCTGCATCTTCGCAAAGGGCGCTTTCTTCGTGAACTGAGTCTTCTTCCGATATATTCGCAGTCCGATCTTCTTCCCTACTTCGTTTAGTTCCTTCAGCAACGTCTCTGCTTCAGTGATACTGCTCGAGAAGAGGACGATGTCATCCGCAAAACAAAGATTGGATAGGAATCTCCCATCAACTCGTATGCCTCTCTCTTCCCAGTCCAGTGACTTCATCACCCACTGCAAGGCCGCAGTGAACAGCTTCGGCAAAATAGTGTCGCCTTGTCGAACCCCCTTCCGAATTGGAATGGTCAGGGGGCGATGGAATAGCTGCATCGTTGTTGTATAGTCCTTGTAGCAGCCGGCTAGTGTCCTCACGTAAGCTGGGTCCTTGATCGACTAGCGCAGACAGGATGGCGTTGGTTTCGACGCTGTTAAAGGCTTTCTCGTAGTCGACGAAGGTTAGGACGAGAGGCAGTCGGTACTCCCGGCAAACTTCTATGACCCTCGAGACCGTCTGGATGTGGTCCATGCAGCTGAATCCTTTGCGAAATCCAGCTTGTTCTTGGGGTTGGGCTTCATCCAGTGTCCTAGATATGCGAGCGAACAAATCTTTGTGAAAAGCTTGTACAGCGCACTCAGCAGGCATATTGGACGGTAATTTCGAAGATCTTCCCGTTCACCCTTCTTGAAAAAAAGGACGGTTCTTCACGTACGTCACTGGTCGGGAATCCTCTCCTTCTGAAGGTAAGATGTCAGGTGCGACGAGAATCTCGTGTAGACGTTGTCCTCCGGCTCGCAGAAGTTCGACGGAAAGATGATCTGGTCTTGGAGCCGTGGACGTCTTCATGGTCTGTATCGCGATACGCACTTCAGCAGGTAGAATTCGTGGTGGTACTTCTCCAGTGGGAACAACGGGCATCGGCACGGGTGTTGATGAGCGGAAGAGGTTGGTGTAGAAGTTTTTCGCGATAGATTCCATCTTGTATCGGGAAGAAGTCGGAGTCCAGTCTTCGTTCAATAGTGCAGCCAGCGGTACGTGATGTTCACACAAGTCCCTTCGGCACTTCTTGAGACTTCGTCTTCCTTCTGCTGCTTCCAGTATCTTGCGATGCCTGTACTTCCTGAGATCCTCTTGCAAAGCTGTTCTGCAACTGGCGTTGGCTATCAGTCGCTCGAGATGGGTTGCATTCGGATCCTGCCTCAGAAATCTTCTTCTTTCGAGCATTTCCTTGGTGGTCTTTGAGATGGTTCCACGTTCTTCTCGGAAGTCATTGAGGCGCACTCGCCGCAGGCTCGCAATCCTTTCAGAAGCCGGTCGTAGTCGTACGTTGGGTCCTCGTCGATGGGCCAGTCACAACTTGATATGAGCTCCTCCAGCCTATCACCGTCATAAACGACATTCTTCCTTCTTGCGGCACTGTGGCAGACTTTCTTTTCCGGCCTTCGACTGAATCGTACCTTCGCTCGAAGGAGGCGGTGATCGGAGCCACTGCAGAAGGATGGAACTACTAAGAAATCGAGCAAGCTCCACCTTCGGTTGGTGAGAATGTGGTCGATCTCCGCGTGGGTCGTTCCGTTGGGCGATTCCCATGTCCACCGGCGATGTTCTTTCTTCATGAAGATGGAATTTTCATGGAAAAGTCGTTCGGCGGAGAGAAGTCCAACAAGACGGTTGCCGTTTTCGTTCCGGAAGTTTCCATGTCCAAACTTCCCAATCCTATATTCCTTTTCAAGTAGCATCCCGATTTTCGCACTGAAGTCGCTCACAACATACTTGTAGAAGGACTTTTCGTTGCGGACGACCTCCTCCACGTCTTCGTAGAAAGCATCTATACTGAGTCGTCAACTGCTGATGTTGGAGAGTAGCAGGTGATGATGCTGATGGTCTTCTGACGTGGAGGGCGTAGTCGTAGGATGGCTAGTCGAGGTGATAGGATCTCGTGCGAATCGACAAGATGGACGATAGATGGGTGGACGACAAAGCCGACGCCTCCCACGTTTCGTGATGGAACCTTCTCACCACGAATGATGAGTGTCCCATCATTCATCTGTCGCACGTCCTTTTTCCTGGACTTCGTTTCCTGCATAGCGATGATGTGGTACTTGATGTGCTCTGCAGCGTCGAGAAGAGCGTGGAGGTCGGCGTTTGTGGAGACTGTCCTGGCGTTTAGGTGCAGAGCATGAGGCAGTCTCCATGGCGTGTCGTCCGGGCAGACGTATCGTTTTTGTCCGATCCAAAAGGCGCCCTAAGGACCCTGACACGTTGTTGCTACCACCCGGCGCCGTAGGCGAGATCCGATGTGCAGGGTTTCTGTCTATTCTTCTAACTGGTAGAATAATGGAATTTTTCCTCTACAAGAGCAGACTTACTAGGCCAACTCTTGATTTCCACAGGGCGATCGCTGACCCCGGGCTCGGAGCGGGGAGAACCGCCTAGCGACCTGAAAACCAGACGGCGGTGGATCTGGCCTGGCCGGCTATTAGCTAGGCATCCGGCTGAAACCGGAAACGTCAAACTCCTTCACAGCTTGGGAGGCCCTGCCAGAGTATACACTCGGCTGTGCATCGCAGTTCGACACCCAGTGTCCCCCCACGCCACGATGAGGCGGCAGACCATTGTGGAGGTTTGCTCAGCTAGGAAGAGGGAATCAAAAAACCCAGGAAAAAAGTCCGAAATTCAAAGTCTTTTCTTGTTTCCAATTTTATCTGTGCATTTGCAGCCTATTAGATAGCAGAAGTAATAAAATTCTAGCCATGCAAAACATCGTAATAGGAAGAAGTTGCGCCGAAACTTTTGGTTCTACCTAATATACGCGAGTATCGAAACTCTTTTGATATTCAGTTGACTCATGGTAAGTTTGACGCTCGCCAGTCAGCTCAGCAGTTCGAGATCTGTTTTCAGAGTCTTAGGTGTCAACCATTAGAAACTATTCGAAAATAATGGCGAACTTCTCATTGCATACAACGAAAGCAACGATGACCATTGGATGCGTGCATAAGCAATGATGAAAATTTTTAAAATGTGATTTGCTTTGAGCCTAAGGCATATCTCGCGCCATTCCAGTCACTGCCTGATCTGACTTGTGAACAATCCTTTATAATTGGTCTTGAGTGCGCTTTGCTGGGGCCAGACCTGCTGCGTTTGTTATAACTTACGATAATATCTACTTAGGCGGGGTACCGGACTAGCGGCTACAATTATAAGGCGAGCGGATTTCACTTCTCCGGTCATGTGGACGCGAACGCCCGGTCGGTATTGGCCGCTCGCCCGGTCATCGTGGTTTGGCGCGGGTCGATGTGGACGCTCGCTTGGTTGTGGCTGTTGGCGCGTTTATTGTGGACAGGTCAAGCGTGGGGTGCGACACGCCACACCTGTGGGGGGGGGTCGGTCGTATTGAGGAGTCAAAAGGGGAGGGGATCGTAGTTGGGTAATCTGATAATAATGATAACATGATATTCGTATCCTATCCATAATTAGCATGCCAAATAACTCGTGTAGACAAAGTGTGAGCGAATTCTGAAGATTCAAGATACTAGGCTACCTAAGTGAAATGGTCAAATTCCAACATGGTTAACATTGTTTCAAAGGTGAATTAGCTATCCCTTTTTGCACTCAAGACAAATCACTACTCTTTCTTTGTCCACCTCGGGAATCCCGCTTCAGAAGACCTCCAAACTGTGGAATTAGAAGCCAACCAAAATCTCGTTTCGCCCATTTTTCGCTTTTGATCGCTCTGCTTTCACCAAATATTACTTAGAGCTAAGAAGACAAATCAGGCTCAAAACAGTCATATGGAATCTACAAGGTTTAGGCTATCGATTCATATAAATATTGTCCGCTAAAAATGTTTTTTGATATAGTTAATGGGGTGCGGCACACCCCCTTAAAAGCTGCGGCGGCCGCAGCTTTTAAGGGGGTGTGCCGCACCCCATTAACTATACCAAAAAACATTTTTAGCGAATGTTATTTATACTCGATAGCCCAGACCTTGTAGATTTCATAGAAGTGATTTGAGCCTGATTCGTCTTCTTAGCTCTGAGTAATATTTGGTGAAAGCAGAGCCATTAAAGGCGAAAAATAGGAAAAACAAGATTTTGGCTAGCTTCTAATTCCACAGTTTGGAGGTCTTCTGAAGCGGGATTCCCGAGGTGGACAAAGAAGGAGTAGTGATTTGTCTTGAGTGCAAAAAGGGATAGCTAATTCACCTCTGAAACAAAGTTAACCATGTTGGAATTTGACCATTTCACTTAGGTAACCTAGTATCTTGAATCTTCAGAATTCGCTCACACTTTGTCTACACGGGTTATTTGACATGCTAATTATGGATATGTTGCCCATTATGTTTGACAAGGCCTTCAAGTAATGCTATCTTAAGTGTATAGTTCAAGGGGGGGGGGGTCTTATTGAGACAACAATCAGGGGGGGGGGGGTCGTAACCAGCGATCGTGTGCCACACCCCTTGCTTGACCCTGATTGTGGATGCTCGCTCGGTCTTCGTAGTCGCTTGCCCTGTATTTGGGGTTGGCGTGATTAGAGGCAGGAAAAGGCTAGTAATGACACAAAATTATCTACATGCAAAAAAGAACAAGCTAAGTTTTGTACTAAACAAACCAAAGACCTCAGCTCTTACGCTGTTCAAGAAAGCTACCGAGACAAAGACATGAAACTCAAAAACCGTTCACGTCCTCTCCATACCGATGCAGGTCTTCGACACTGACTGAGAAATCTAAGTGAAGCAAGCGCAGTAGACAAATGCGTGAGAGTACGAAGCAAGCGACACCATTAATTTCCCGCGCTTCAATTGCGGGACGGTCGGCCGGCGGCTGCACGTGCTCACCCGGTACCCTTCCACGGCCACAGGCTTGCGAATTTAGCCGCCCTGGAATCTCTGATTGCGGGTGCTTGATCAATGAGGGCGCTCAGCCGAGTGCCTCCGATTGGCGCGAGGCTCGTCCGCTGCTTTTACCTGAGTGAGTACGCTGCCACGTCTTTAAGACCCACACATGGTTAATCTGTAAACATCTGGCGAACCGCCAAGTCGCGTAGAGGTAGAGATTTCGCGAAGTTGTATGAGGTATACCTTAGCAGTTCTCGTTTGAGCCTGGCATTCGCAACTCAGGTGCATACAGAGGCATCATTTCAGATATTTACTAGGAATTTTTTCATAATCAGTACAAATAAGTACTGTGGAATAAGAAGATGGTTTTGTTAGGTTAGCACATAAGTAATGCAACTTTTCTACAACTTTTGTCTTCTAACGTAGCGCGTTCATTTTCTGGCAGTATAAGGATTATAATGTAAACTGCAAATGCGGAAATCTTTGCCGAATTTTGGCTCTTATGTAAGGGTGCGATTTTTACGGTACAATGGGAAATTTTTAGACCGCGTCAGATCTTGCTGAAACTGGCCTATAGGGTTTATTCGACATACTAATCACAATAACAAGACCCCGTTTCGCATGAAAAGGCTTCTTTCGAAAGGTCAAAAATTGAATGTCATCTTAGCGACAAGAGAGCATGATATTCGTGTTTGCCGTTTTGGAACACCCTATTGTGCAAAGTATGCGAATTCTGAGGTTTCGCAGCTTACAAGGGAACCGTCGAGTCGAAGTGGCCTTTCCAGATGAGACCCATACTGCTTTGAAGAATATTAAGCGATAATTTCAAATCTGCCTTCCAAATCTGCCAAGCGCCTCTGGACGCCGAGTTATGACCGTTCTTCGGAACGAAAAATGAATGCAGAATTTAGGTAAAATTGATTGGTATAATCTTTCCAGCGCTCAGATAAAGCAATGTTAATTATTAGCATATAGAATAAAATGTATCCATTGCATAAACGGCTGTGATACTTAACACTGGACCATATGAGCAAATTTGGGCGATTTTGCTTCAGTGTTGCGTTCAATTTTTTGACTTGATAAACGTGCATAACTCGGTGTCCAGAGGCGCTTGGCAGATTTGGAAAGCAAAATTGGAATCACCGATTAATGCTCTTCAAAGCAGTATGGGTCTCATCTGGAAAGGCCACTTCGACTCGACACGGTTCCCTTGTTAGTTATTGACAGATTGCCCATATGACGCATTTGACTTGTTCTACTTCTCAAAGACGCTTTATCTTAGTTTGCCTTTGGACTTCATTTCTTTTTCACTGATTCTAACCTGTCAACTTCTAGCTACATGCTGCCTATGATTTCTTTATGATATCTTTGAATCAAGTTTGGTACGGCTTCATGCTTGCCAAAAAACCGTAAAACCTCGATTTTTAAGAGTTTTCGAAAAATGCTTCTTCTACTACATTATCATAAATCGAACAGTTTGCGAAGGCATGCAGCTTACATCACACTCTACATGATGCTGATAAATGAGAGTGCTACATTTAGTATGAAGAAGTTATGGGAAAAGCTGCAGAACTCATGTGCCAACTTAATCAATCTCTCTTTTGCCAAGATCCGGAATAGCAACAACCCTTTGTGAGGAGCACCGGCGATGGCGGTAACTTTGAGCAAGATGTATTTTCATTCTCAGCGTTGGAATAATCTTAAATATTGTATCATTCGTGCTTAGGTGGTGGCTTATGAATCAGATTGCCGCAAATGAGCGACAGGAACGGGTTCCAGCTGCTAAGTGCTAATTTTCCAGTCTTCATATTCTAAAGCAAGCACCAAGAATATAAATAAGAAGTATTTGATGACGACGAAAGTGTCAAACGTCGGGCCGATGGGATAAACTGCCGATAGCAAACCTCTATGATTAGCAGTTCTTTGAACTACGAATAAAGTTTGAGGTTAAAAAGAAATCATTACTTGAGCCATAAGAAGGGTAATAATTTTTTCTCTAATGCAGAATTGACGGAACTTGTCTTGTCTTAATCAACATGGCGTGAGGAATTGCGAATAATGAATTACTTTCGCCATTAAGGAACCTATCGAAGGGTCAGACAATCTATACAGCTGGATTCGGCTGCAGTAAGGATGGTGACTGTACAACCCACCTTGCTTCGCATTGTGAAGCGGCGAGCGGCCTTTGTGTGGCGGAACGCAATGGTGCAAATGAAGAAGATAGAAATGAGACTGTCATACCAGCAGTTCCAAAGTATTCTACTTCAATTGAAAACATAACAGCACTCGAAAAAGGTTTGGAAGAAACAAGTGGAAATGATACCCAGAAGAACTCGACTGTAATACCCGAGAAAAGAGAAGAAAACAGAGAGGACTTATCACCTACGTGGATTGGTATGCCCAGGTACGGTGAGTAGTTCACGGTATCATTTAAGTCGAACATCACAGATTGATTCGAATCTATAGGAAATCGTACGATGTGTCCGAATGTGAGCGGGATGACTGATGAAATGAGGAAAAAATTCCTCGATGCGCATAATCATTACAGGTTTGATTCAAACTTGAGCACTCATCACGAAAATTTGCTGACCTAGATCGGCACTAGCAAAAGGCCTTGTAGAATGGGGTAATGGGACGAAATTACTCGCAGCCGCAGATATGGTCAGACTGGTAAGTTTATCAAACCACTGCTTGCATTTTGACTATCCAAAGATTCCTGTTCAGCGTTACAACTGCGAACTGGAAATTTACGCATTTTCCTATGCTTCAACATGTTCTATGGGAAATTCCGATTTGGAAAGTAGAGTACATACGGGAGAAAACGTTGGTACTATCCTTGAGGAGGAAGCAGATACATTCGAGAAGGCCGTGACTGTGGTACGATTGCTAATGAGAATGAGTGCTATTAGCATTGCTATGCAGAAGCCTCAATGTCAATCCTTCGCAAGAATACAAGATGTTTTGCATATAAGAATGCTGACAGAGGTGTCGCAAGCATGAAAGCGCTGAACTGGTGTTATGTGCTTGCCAGGTTTCTTATGAAAAGAGTAAATTAAAAATATGTGCTTGACATGCATAGAGTAATTGTGATTAAGATGCTGAAATTCTTTGCTCCAATATTGGGCTGTCAAGTCTGTTTTAATAATAACGCAGCCACCTTCAAGCAATCTTCCCAGCCGCGAATATGCGGAGCTTTGTGAATAATTAAAACTCTCAAACCCCTAAAACACCTCTTTCAGCTCCTTCACTATAAAACTGACACCTGTACGTCATAATCATCGCTCCCCCCGATGGTGGGCAAGGACGATAACATTACACATATGCTTAAAAATACATGACTTTGCCTAAATTTACTGCACACATTTTCGCCATCATTTACGCAGCTTCTGCTCCTTTTTCAGAATGCAGCACCGTCTACAAATAAGAAAGTCGACTTCAAATACCTTTGAAAAAAATCATACGCATAAATAGAACAAGATAATTTCAGGGAGTGAGAAAATGGTGGAAAACATTGAAAGCAAATGAGTTCATAATCGGTGCTGATGCTTACCTAGACCAAGTTCCACTCAATCAACCGTGGCTGAAATTCCTCCAGGTCTCTACTTCTGTGAAGAAAAAATTGCTTACCATTTAATTGTTGAAGATGATATGGACTGAGACGAAAGAAATTGGTTGCGCTATTGTGAGGTGTGGTGCGAACTATTTTTTGGTTTGCAGATACTACCCAAGGTGAGCTCACACTTATCTTAATAGAAAAACTAGGATACGAAAGCCAAATATGCTACATCCAATCCGTGCTCACCGGGGTCAAGACGGGGTTAGGGGCGTTTGACCTAGAAATCGCATTGAAAAATGGATCTGGGAGAAGAGTTATAAAGAACCAAATTCGCCTAGAATTGGAATATACTACAGTCGAGTAGGGTAAAAAGGAAAGGTACTAAGTCAACAAATGTCATACCCTTACTATAGCGATACGTTCGCTGACTTTTGCAAAGCTTAATCACGGTTGTGAACAACATACCTGATTCCGCTACCGCCGTTCCAGCAGCAAAACCTTCTTACCTTACCGTACACTGCACCTAAGCTAACAAGGAGACCCCATCATGTGAAATATATATGGTTTCCGTAATGAGCATGTCAAAATCCATCTACGAACCCTAAAAACCATTACCTGCTATAATCTCCAGTACATCAAAGGTAAGCTAAAAACGTCACTTGCAAACATGATTAAGAAGTTTGTTTCAAAGAAGAGGAAAATTAGAAAGTTTATACTCATATAAAATCTTGTTGAGTTGTGCTAATTCATCATATGGTTCCCAAACAAAGGAGTTGGAGATGCTCCAAATTTTCCCAACGTTGTGTTTTCCAAATCAAAGGCAGCGTTTCGGCAAAACCTTGATTAATTTTTGCGTTTTTGGGGCTTCCTCGGAACGCTGAATAGACGATTGGCCCGTAGTAAAGCTCGGTCATGGGAGATTATTTCCCCTGAGACCTTCATGTGAGGTTCTGTCAGTAAAATGACGACCGCCCATTTCCCCATGCTATAGGGATGCAACGTCACCTGAGAGGTGAGCCTCAGGTGAAGTTCGGCAGGGAGATGATCTCCCTGCCGGCTCATGGGAGATGATATGAGCGATGATGTCCAGAAATAGTGTGCTAAAAAGGAAACGCAGAGAAAATCTTCGTAAGTTGCTCCTGAGTAACTTACGATACACAGCGATTTGCCTAACACTGCGGACAAAATCGGCGCAAAATTGCACAACCCCGCCCGAAAAGGAGAGGATCGATGAACAGCTGATTTTGGCGAGGAAGACAGAAAAAAACAATTCTTCTCTTTTTTGTAAACTTTACTGATTTTTTTTTGAAGCTGTCCAAAACGAGACTCATTTTTTCATTTCATTGAATTCTCATTGCAACCATTTCGTTTTGTTTCAAAATTTTCGTAACAAAATGTTTTTTGTTTTATCTTTGCGTTTGCTAGGCGAAATCCTTGATAGCGGTCATCATCGATTGGATAATGGCCGCTATCAAAGATTGCCCGGCGATGCAGCAAAAGTTGTGTCGCTAGGCGGAGTCGAACCACGGCCGCGCGCGTGTAATTCCAATGGCTTACCCATTTAACCAAATCGAATCAAGTAGCTGTTTTTTCGAGAACGCACTCGATTGTAATGTCCAGGAAGCGATCTGCATCCAAATCAATAGCTCGCCGGATGCTGGACTGAGGCGCCAAGATATCAACTCCGGTCCGCCTCAGGGGAGATGCCCTGATGGTAGTTTACTACGGGCCGATTATTTCAGCGCTTCAAAATGGCCTTTTTTAAAAACTCTCCAGATTGCAAGTGGTCGAGTAATGAACGCTGCGGCGGCCGCCGTTGCCGTTAGACTGGCGCAGTCCGGGATATTTGTAAGATTTGGGCTACTTTGGGGAGATTTGTAGATTTCGTAGACCCCCCCCCCCTCCGGCTGCGAACTTCTGTTTTCGCTTAATTAGATAATCTAGTATCACACTGCTAACAAGATCCAAGATTACTCCCCCAGTCTGGGGGACGCTCCTTTATGCGCTTTCACTCCAGCGACCACCGCAAAGTTAAAGAGGTAAGCTCACACAACCAAAGTGAATTCTAAGAGGTGCGTACTAACGAGCGATATGAAACTTGGGTAAAAAATGAATGGGGGTCAAGCACTACCGTTTAAAAGATCGGGCCGCCTGAGCTTTCGTAGTCATGTGGCTGAATCAATTGACTTACCTTCACAGTCCGCAAACCGCTCCATTATTGTAAGTAGTAAACTAACCTGTCTTGGCCGAGCAATATGAATAAGCACAACTCGCAGAGTTAAAAATGCAAAGAAAAGATCATTCAAATTTCGGTAACTTTAAGCACACTCACTAGAATTCAAAAACATCACAAAAGATACAGAAATAAACATGAGCATATGTTTTACAATCTCTTCTTCCTAGCTAACAAGGAAGACTTGTTTACGAAGTGACCCTTTTGGATGGGATGTATGTCATAACGGAGAGCATGGAATGCTGATTGCAGATCCGCCTTCCTTATTTGCGGAACATTTATGGAGAAGGAGTTATGAGGGTTTATTGAAGCAAAAGATTACGTGCGCATTTAGGATAAAATGCAATGCTAAAATCTCCCTATCCCTATTACAACCAAGTGTGGTATAGTTTTTTATCTGAGAACATTTATTGAATGACGTGCTCTGATAATTATCACAGCTACATCGGAGCGCTAGGAAGAATGTTGCGAGAATTTTTGTCTTATTTGCGCATGTAATTCTTTCCATAATAAAAGCTCATAACCAGGGTCAAGCGTCTGGTGTGGCAATCCACACCGGTGGGGCCGTAGAGAGTCAGGGAAGGGTCGTTATCGAGGTAATAGTGTTGTTAAGATGCCTTCATACCGCGCCGGCAGCCGCCGCTAGCAGCACGTAGCAGCCCGCAGCAGCCTCCAGCAGCCCGTAGCCGCCGCTAGCCGCTTTTGTTCATAGGAGCAAAAACCATCATTTCTTTGAGTACATCCGCCTGAGCTTCTCATCTCTCATGCTTTTTCCTTCCTGTTGCGACCAGTATGCAGTTTCATCTCATACATCATACCTTTAATCTATTGTTATTGTTATCTTTTTAACGTAGGCTGGTTATCTTGGTGCTCAATTTCCTTCTTGCGGTTTAATCATAGTTCGCCAAAGTTTTTCGCGGTGTGATTTTGACTTTGGATGCGTCCAGTTTATGTGGGTGTGCTATTTGTTCATCTTGGAAGATGGAAAAGCGGTGCAGGGGCTCAGATAATCGCCGGGGGCAGGCGGTCCGCAAACTCGCGCTTTTCTGCAGGCGGTCAGCAGAATTCTGGGGCGTGGCCAAACCTTCCGGGCGGTACTTCCGCGTTCTGCCAGCGGGCAGCAATACAGAATTTTCTGCGAGCGCTCCTCAAATAATATCTTCCAGCGAGCGCTGGCCAAACTTTCAGCAAGCGCTCGGACTCTTTTTAGGTATTTTCGTACGTCGAGCGCAGGTAAGACTCTGTGTGGCAGAGGTGTCACCGTTGGTTTAATTACTCAAGTTTGAGGTACTTTCTCTCAGCGGAAAGTACCTGGGGGTTGCGCGGTCCTCCACAAAGGAACGTGCGGCCCTCGAAATTTTTGCATATTCTCGCGGAAAGTCCGCGAGAATGCGGCCACTGCGCCGCAGCTAATCCATAAAGAAACGCGATTGTTCTTCAAGCATTCGTCTTTAATTTTGCCAACTTTCTTCCAAATTTCTGCAAGCGGGCCGCAAAAAATCAACGAACTATTTTTCCGGTGCGCGCTTGCTCAAAATTCGCATGGCCGCCTGCCCCCGGCGGTTATCTGAGGGGCTGCTACGAGGTGCTACGGCCTGCTCTGCTAGCTGGCTGCCGCCGCGGTATGAAGGCACCCTTTAAAATGATTCAGTCAACAATATCTGATAGGCCATTGTGCAAGGTACCAACATTGGTGTTTTGGCCTACCGTCGTACACGTACAGTAAGCATAATAAAAGGTCCTAGAAGACTAAAAGCATCATTTTCGTATTTAGAATGTCAAATAACCCCTGCGGTCCAAGTTTCAGCTTGATATTCTCAAATATTGCGACACTCAAGTAGGTGGTCATTTTCAAAATACTTCACTTCAAAGGTGAGTAAGCTACTTCTTTGTATTCAAAACAAAATACTCAACTTCTTTGCTCACGTTAGAAATCTCACTTCAACTATGAACTCTGGAATTTATAGCAAGCCAAACTCTCGTTTATCCCATTTTTCGCTCTCAATATCTCGAACTAGAGAAGACCTCAGGCTCAAATCACTTTGGTAAAAGTTACGAGGATAGGGCTATCAAATATACTTGCTCTTGCCGTCTTCCCTCGCGATTCACATAGTAGCGCAGACTTAGCATATTGCCGTAATCCAATGTTTTCGCAGTGTTTTCCTTTTGCATATCTTCTTGGGAAAAACGACTACATCTTTCCCTAGGAGAAGCAAGTCTGAATGAAACTCCTGCTATGGGAAGAAGAAGGTTTAGCAGTAGCAGTCATATAAAAAAGGCAGTGTTTGCTGAAGGTAAGTTAATGGTATGACACAACCCTTAAAATGTGCGGCAACCACAGCTTTTCTGGAGTTGTGCCCCACCCCATTAACCTGCCTCCAAAAAGAATTTTAGCGAACATATTATAAATGATTTGATAGCCGAAGTCTTGCAGTTTTCATAGAAATAACTTGGGGCTGACTCATTCTCTTGCTCTAAAAAGCTGGTGAAAGCGCAGCCATTAAAAGCGAAAATTGGAATAAATGAGATTTTGGCCTGATTCTAATTCCATAATTCGATGGTTATTTGAAGCAGGATTCATGATATGGGTAAACAGGGAGTAAGCTTTGTATAGAGTGCAAGAAGAATTAGCTAATTACTTTCAAAATACAGTTAATCATGTTTAAATGACCATTTTACTTGGGTGGTCCACTATTGGGAACCCTCAGAATCTAAATTGACCCATGGGGGTTATTTGGCATGTTAAGTACGAATATGTGCCTAAATATGCATAGTGGAGCCTTTATGTCATGCCTACGGAAAGCAAACGATAACCAGGGTCACGTAAGGCCCCGGGCAGACTTCACGCGATTTGATCGTCGCGACTCAGTCGCGACGAGACAACTGTTACAACATCATTCCATGCCGATCAACTTGCATTCGGTTGTGATACTTTTCCAGACCGAAATTTTTGGATGTGAAATGAAAATGAATGGAAATCTTGGCGATTAGATCGCGACGATTAAGTCGCGTGAAGTCTGACCGGGGCCTAAGAGGTGTGGCGCACGATCGCTGGTTACGACCCCCCCCCTTATTGCTGAAGACCCCCTGAACTATATACCTAAAATAGCATTACTTGAAAGCCCTGTCAAACATAATGGGCAACACATCCATAATTAGCATGTCAATTAACTCCTGTAGACAATGTTTGACCGATGAAGTTTCAAGATACCACGTAAGTGAAATCGCCATTTTCCAGCATGATTAACTTTCTATTTTTCGGTTTTAGTGGCTGTGCTTTCACCAAGTATACTCAGAGCTAAGAAGACGAATCAGGATCAAATCACTCCTACGAAATCTATTTGGTTTAGGCTATCGATTCATATAAATAACGTTTGTTAAAAAGTTTTTTTGATATAGTTAATGGGGGTGGTGCCACACCGCATTGACTTACCTTCAAATAGACTGAATAGCTGCGTTTTTTATATTGTTGTTACTTCTTAACCTTCTTCTTTACATGACAGAAATTTCATGTGAGAATGTTTCTTCAAGAGCGTGATATAATCGTTTTTCCTTACCTATGCAAATGTAAAATACTGGTGAAATACTCGAGAATATTGGGATACGGTAACATGCTAAGTCTGCGCTACCACGTGAATCGCAAGGTAATTTGAGCCTGATTGGTCTTCTCTAGCCTGAAATATTGAAAACGAAATATGTAGCAAACGAAATGTTGGCTTGCTCTTAATTCCTAAAGTTGGAGGTCATTTAGAGTAGGATTCCTAATGTGAGCAAAGCAATAGACTTCTTTGTATTAAGGGCAAAAAGAAGTAGATAATACCTTTGAAACAAAGTAACATGTTTGAAAATGACCATCTCACTTAGGTGGTCCATGTATTTGGAAACCACAGAATTCGCTCAAACTTGGACCGCAGGGGTTATTTTACTTGCTAATCACAATTCTTACGATGCTCTTATGCTTTATAGATCTTTAATTATGCTTATTGTACGTATACGATAATGGGTCAAACATCAATGTGGTAGCATTTTGCATGACGGGCCTATTTGACATTGAGTTGAGGTATTTAAGATAAACTGATTAGCGATCACTCTCACATGCTTAAGAATGCGACCTGATCTGAAGGGTTAGCGTCAGGGCATGTGCCGCGATAAATTACCTGAAATCCGTAAGAGCAGCCTCGATTTTGAGATGAATTGACCGAAATAATGTGCAAAGGATGGGAAGCAGAGAAAAATTCCGTAAGTTGCTCGTGAGTAACTTACGGGACATCGCACTTGGCGTATTGTTGCAGTACAAGAATGCTCAAAACTGCACAATATCGGTGCCCAAAAGGAAAGGATCAATGAACAGCTGATTTCGGCAAATAGGTTTTTTTTGCAGAGTTTGCTTAGGTTTTTTCTAAGCTACTCAGAGCGACAATCTCTTTAATTCTTTCCATTCGATTTTGTCCTTACTTCCTCAATTTTTGATGAAATTTGGTTAAAAAACGCAGTTTTGTTTTGTGCATTCATTTGGTTTGTGGATTCCTTGATAGCGACCGTCATCGATTATCATCGATAGTGGCCGCTATCAAAATTGCTCAGTGATGCGCAAAAATTCGCCACTGTCCGTCGCTGAACCAGGGTCGTGCGGGCTGAGTACCAGTCACATACCTGTTTGACCAAACCTGCACAAGATGTTGTAGGTTTTTCCTCTTTGATAGCGTGCAAGATTTTTATGCCTGAAAAGCGATCCGCATCTAGATCACTAGCCCGCGGGATGCTAAACCGAGGCGCCATACGATCAACTCAGGTCCGTCTCAGAGCAGATCCCCTGAAGGGGGGGGTTTACTACGGACCATTGTTAACGAATATCATGTGATGCGAACTGCGGACGCCTTGATAACGACCTCCCCCCCCCTCTCTGATTCCTCAATACGACCCCCCAGGTGTGGTACGCCGCACCTCACGCTTGACCCTGACGATAACGATGGTAAGGAGGGGGGGGTTCTGGCGCTTGTGTGCCACACCTCTTGCTCAACTCTGCCCATAACTCCTCGCTTATATAAGCAGGTTTGGAATCAGTTTTATGCTTTCCAATATGGTACACATCCCTTCTTGAAAGGCCACCTTGACTAATCATGGATCCCTTGTAAGCAAAGTTGCGCTGATCGAATGTTTATATGAAAATTCCAACTCTCAAGGAAAATGCGTTTTTCGTGGAAATCTATCCGTATCTACCAGCACGAATTTCGCTCACCTAGAAAGTGGCCGTTTCGGTTTCCGGTGTGAAGTTTTTAGACTTTTTTGATCTTGCTTGAAAATTGTCAAACTTCTGTAGTTGTGTAGTTGTAACTTGTGTAGTTCTCTTCACTTGCTTCCCAACCAAAAAGCGCTGCGAGCCTACCCAGTATGATAGGTCTTTCTACGCTATTGTTTCAAAGTGGTCTTTAGCATGATTATGGGTTAATAAGGCCAAGTTTTGTTCGGGTAACAAGCAAAATGCATATAGGTTGTAAACATAAGTCTTGTTATACTTCAACTTCTTGTGGCGATAAGTCGTGGATTTCATATTTTCAGTAGGACTCCAATAAGCCATTCGAGAGAGGTAAGCAAGAGCCAGCTCTACAAGAGGATGGCAAAAGCTCGCTCCAGCTTCGAGCCACCGCAATTTTGCATTCCGAATCTGAGTGCTGTACTGAGGGCTCAAAAAATTTCGAAAAGTTCGTATCTTTGTTAAGAAAAATCCTTAGGTTCTCCAACTCGCTCACACAAATTACATACCACATCGCACACTCGTACGTTGCTGTATTTTTTCCTCATCTAGAAATCGAGAACGAAAATTTCAATGCTCGTACAAAAACGAAGCAGTTTCCACTCATGTAGTTGTATGCAACCATCCCTAAGAAGTATAAGCGTGGAATTTCAGCTTCCCATAGCCCTAGTTTTCGAGAAATAGTGATTTTAGCATGGAACACCCAGGTTAGGAGAGCTGAAGCCTCACGGTTATACTTCCATGGCCTTGTAGCATACAACTACATGAGTCGAAACAGCATAGATCCGTTTCTGTGAAAACACAAAAATTTACGTTCTTTCGAATTTAGATGAGGAAGAAATACGACAACTGACACGTGAGTGTGTGATGTGGTGTGTGATTTGTGTAAGCAAGTTGGAGATCCGTAGGATTTCTCTGAACGAAAATATGAACTCCCAATTTTTTGAGCCTTCAGTGCGGCTCAGATTCTGGATGCAAACTTGCGTTGGCTCGAAGCTGGTGCGAGTTTTGCAAATCAACTTGTAGAACTTGCTTTGCTCTATTGAAGGTAATCTGGAGTCTTATTGACTTATCGCCACAAGAAGTTGAAGTGTAACGAGACCTATGCAACTTTGTTTTTTAACTTATCGATTCGCGTTTTTTCAGAGGCAATATCTACATGAAAAGAGCCTACAAACCTGGCAAAATGTGTACTATGTGCCCTTGGCAAATGAACTGTGATTATTGGACAGGGCTATGCATGCAACCAAGGGATGACGATCCCATACAACACGAGTCCGACAACTTCGAAAATGATTATGACAATTCAAGTGTGAGCTCATCAAGCATTAGCATGTATTGTTGCTGGGCTTTACTGTTTTTGCTACTTCTCTAAGTTTTTACTTTATAAAATGCAACAAGAAGATCTGTAAACAATAAATGTTGCTCTACTCTACATTGTTACCAGAATAACTGACAAGTTAATGCAGTTGCAAACTTAGCTTTGCTGCCCTTGTTATCTTTAGAAGTAGAGATTTAAGATTTATGGTAAATCTTTAGGAATGAAACTCAAAAACCCAACTTCGGACAACTTCGACCTCTTTGAGCATACCTATTGACTCTTTTATCTTACTTATTTTATCGACATAGCATAGACGGTGGTGTTTTTGCAAACATATCATAAGAAGGTAAGCCTTTACTATGATTCCCGCCTCAGCTTGGCATGGGGATAAACTGGATGTCCAGCCAGAATGTACAATCAAGTACGAATTCTGACAAGGTCCCCCAGGCTATGAAAAAAGTTGGACGTTTCCGGTCTTTTACTTCGCCGGATGCCTATCGAAGCGAATCCGGCCAAATTCCCCGTTGTCTGGTAAGTTAAGAATCGCTGATATTCCACGCCAGATCTCAGGATCAAAGATCGGAGAAATTCTCTTTTGACAAGAAGTACAGGAGAAAATCCTGCACATCAAATTCCAAACGAGGCCGGTGGCAGCAAGATCAATATTAATGTGCTCAGTAAATTTTGAATCATTACAAATACTATTCGGTTTACGAATATTATTCGAATCATCTCAATCTCGAAGAGCCAAAAAACTCTTGCATTAGGCTTTTCAAAGTCAGCAACTTCGAAATTGAAATTCCAACCGCAATGCTGTTTTCATAAATTATGTCGGTTTTTTCCATAAGTTAACATAAACAACGTCTTTGAATGTTTTCAAAACGTAAATATACATTGGAAAAGCTTGCAAAACTTGCGAAGTTGATCAATCAGCACACGTACAGTTTGTCCCAACCTCAATCAGGCCAAAATTGGCATGGTGGAAGAGAAGAACTCAAATGTTGCAACACGACCGCTGCGTCCTTTAATAACTGGAGCGCGTTTCTATCCCGGGAGGACTTTGCGTTCTGCGCCAATTTCGGCAAGTGTTCTTTTTCTTGCACAGATCATATTTCATTTCATTTCATTTCATTTCATTAGATACGCTCTAGGCGTTCCAAAACATTGACAAAAATGTGTTAATAATACATGAAACACAACAATAATAAACATTTCACCACATCTTTCAAGCCCAGACTAAGCTTATGAGAGAAAAGATTGTTTAGAAGCAGCTTGCGTAAACGCGTATAGATAACAATGCTTGTACTTGCGTGAGCTCTATGGGGAAACACTCTGGAGAAGTACCCATGCCCCCTCGTTTGCCAGCAAGGAACGATCTTATTTTGATTTCATAATAGCAAACCGGAAGTTCGACTGGCGGGTATACTGGCAGCCCCGCCCAACACAGTTTGCCGGGGAGGGTACAAAGCTCCAAGGAAATTTGAAATATATTGTAAATTAGTCAAGCATCAGTCTATGTTGGTAAGCTGTACCAAACTAGTGCGTGGTAGTAGGTAGGCTGGGCTCGAAACTATGCGGTAAAAATCTGGGTTAGTAGAAGAACAAATCTAGCAAAGTAGATATAAACTAAGATTGTCGGACGCATGCGCTGATGGGAAGTCAGGAAAGCACGTGTGGCTGGCAAAGTGAGCATAAAACAATGAAGAGAAGCTCTACCTGCAAGGAAAAAAATCATTCAAGTTCAGCTTTTTGATTTCACGTTTGAATGATATACTACTTTTGCAGGCTAAAAGTTTTTTTGGTATTTTTTCCAGCATTCTCGATGCACGAACAAAAAAATCACTTTCTAATAAGGTGCAAAACTGATTTCGCCCACCGCTTGTTGGTAGAAAAATAGAAAATCCGCTGGTCCTTCCATGACTAGGCTTGAGTACCCAATACTTGGAAGGACTCAGTTTAGTTTCTCCCCTGTAAATCCTAAATGCAAGAACAAGATCGTGAATAACTCTACGATATGAGAGGTATTCAAGACCAAGTGTTTCAAGCGTTCATCATAATGTGGAAGCAAATGTGGATATGATGAATTCGGAAAACAACGATAAAAGAGAAGTTTGGTAAAGACTCTCTGAACACTCTCCAGGGTCTCTGTGTGCTTCCTAAGAGAGGGACTCTAAACAGGACTTGCGCATTCTAATAAAGAGATTACGTATGCTTTGTACAATTTGACCAGTATTTTGACGTCATTGACTTTAATATTGCGAAAAATGGTGTATAAAGTTGAAAAAGCTCGTGAGGTAACAGTTGAAACTTGCAGATCAGGTTTTAAGGTGTCGTCGAATACGACTCCCAAATCCTTAATTGATGTTTCGTTGGATAGCATGACTCCAGCGTGTTCATAATTGGCATCGCTTATCGCACCAATATGAAATACGACACTTTTTTTGACGTTTAACGAGATATCCCAAATTGCGCACCATTCAATCATACGGTCGATGGCGCGTTGTAAAGCATCTTTGATAACTGCGCGATTGCTGTCATCATAAATCCCGTATATTTTTATGTCATCGGCGTACATTAGTACGTGAATATCAGGATGAGTTTTCAAAATTCTGGGCAAGTCGGCGGTATAGATAATGAAGAAAAGAGGTGAAAGAGCACCTCCCTGCGGAAGCCCACTTGTACATGGAAAATGCTCAGAGTGATCTCTACCAACACGGACAGTCATAAATCTAGAGTGAAGATAGGATTTGATCAATTCCAGTAGAACTCCTCTGTTGCCATAATGCTCCAGCTAATATAACAATTTATCATGACTTATACGGTCGAAAGCTTTGGACAAATCGAAATAGATTACATCCACTTCTTTTTTATCAATTGAAGCTTTGATCCAGTCATGTTGGCAATCTATCAGTTGTGTCACAGTTGATGCTCCATTGACGAAATCATGTTGTGTATGAGTTTGAGTTTTTTAAACCAAGAAAAAAGTTTGTCGCGTAGACTTTTCTCAAAAATTTTGCATGGGATAGAATTTATGCTTATAGGCCTAAATTCGGTCACCGTCATGGGTTTAGGTACTTTTGGAATGGCCGTGACAATAGCTTCTTTCCAAATGTTAGGCACCTCCCCACATAGAAGGCAAATATTGAAAATATGAGAGAGATGTGTGGAAAATTCTTTTGCGCATCGCTTGAATACTATTTGCGGGATACCGTCAAAAGGTGCAAAAGTGGAATTTTTCAGCTTCTTGAGAAAACTTTCGACCATGAAAGGCGTGACAGTAGGAGCTGAGCATGTATGGCGCAGAGGAGTTTCAAGATTTATCTGAGTGGGAGTACTCAAGGAGAAGGTGCTGGCAAAAAATTTGGCTAATGCCTGTGCCTTGCTTCGATCCGTCGGGCAGCTTACACCCAGCGCATCTTTCAAGGCTCCATGATTTTTAGTATACGATATACGGCGAAAATAGGAAAAGAGGTTTTTGGAGTATTTGGACGAAGCTAGGCGTCTCTCGCGATTTGCGAGAAATTTTTTAATATGAAATGTGATACCTGTACAAACTTTCTTATACATCAGGCTGTCGTAACGAGATGTTCTGAATAGTCTTTCTTTTTGCAGGAGGAGTGCCTGGACATGATTAGGGTATCGTAGGTATCCAATTTTCTAGACATCGAATGGTACACATCTTGACATTATATCATAGACGATACAGCAGAATCTATAGTACACGTCTGATGGGTCAATGTACATATCAAAACTTGCTTCCCAGTCAAAACCACATAACTCGTTTTTGAAGGCTTCAAAATCTGTTTTTAAAAAATTTGGAAAAGGAATAGGCTCCTTTTTGGCATGACGAATTTGTAGTGAAACTCTATCATATTATGGTCAGAACTGGCAAAGGGCGAAGTGACTGAGATATCTTTAACTGAGCGAGATTCAGCTAATACCAAGTCCAGAATGGTATCATCGCGTGTGGGCCGCGTAACACATTGATGGAGATCAAGATTTTCAAAAAGATCAAAAAATTTTGAGGCGTTACCATGGCATGAGTCTCGACTGTGGAATGGGAGGTTGAAATCACCCACAATTAAGACGTCAGGGGTACACGTAGTCAAAGTAGAAAGCAAATCAACAAGAATTTCGTCTGAATCGGAGAGAAAGTTAGGGGGTTGGTAGACACATATCATGCGCACCTTCACTGCTGCACAAGGCTGATATAAATCTATAGCAATGAGCTCGAATCTGCCGTGTATATCAACTTCGATTTTTTCACATAGTAGAGTCGTTCTTACGAGAATGCAAACACCGCCTCCTTTTTTCTTCTTTCTATCACAGCGAAAAATAAGATATGGCAAATCAGCGATAATCTCTGCATCACCTACTTTAGGCGACAGCCAAGTTTTTATGATAAAGAGAATGTCCGGCAATGTTGTAATCAGAAAGTGGTGCAAGTGCAAGAATTTATTCACCAAAGATCTAGCATTAAAAAGAAAACATTTGAGAAAGTTGCCGTGCGACTCAGCTAGCTTCCCTGTTGCGACAGGGAAGAGATACGACGAGGATATGATGAAGGTTGAGAAGGAGGCCTGTTAGCATGCGAGAGTGTGTTGGCAGGAACCAACTCACCTTTATATACAACCAGCCTTTCCTGGTAAGCCCTACTCCGATTCATATCCCTTGCTTTCTCCCTCAACTCACGCTCGAGCTCTCTCCCGAGCCGTCATGCTTTTTCTGATATAAACTCCTCTGAAATTAGAGGAGTCTCGAAGCATTCTGGCTCGGGAGAGAGCCGTTACCCAGTGACTCCTTGTGGGTAACTCTACCTTCACTAAGCGGGGTCTTCCAGGCACTCTCCTGCCCATACGAAAGGCTTTAACCGGTCTGCACTCAACGTCAAGTGCATCTAAGATACCTTGCACTTTACGTTCGGTATCTTCTTGACGTGCTGATGCAGACGGTTCAACACATTTATCGCTACTAACATCCAACTCTGGAAGGCCAGAGATAACAATGCTTTTCATCTGCGCCTCTTTCTCGATCATCCCCTCGCTTAGCTCGCT